TGAATATCTCATTAACTGTCAAAAGAACAGATATTAGAGAATTTTAAGAAGAAATCTTAGAGAAGGTGCAGTTATGGTGCTCCTAGGAGAAAAAGGTGATAAATATTCAACTCACATACTTTGAACATGTTGGTTATTGTTAGGTATCATTGAGTTGAATATGACTCTTAGAGACCCTATGAACAATTGATTCAAACACGTTTCTATATTGTGCCATCCTCACAACCTCTAACCCAATCAATCAAATGTGGAAGTCATTATGCTCACCTGTATCTTTGAGGGTCTTTCTTGCTTTCACCACTGCTCCACCTTTCCAAGTGTGATCCTTCTCCAAGGAATTCTCATCATTTTGATTAAATGCCAATCTAGGCTCTACATCTAATACTGTATCTACTTCTGTTCTTCTATTTATTTTATTTTATTTATTTATATATATCCTTCTTCATGTTGTTGTTGTCATGCTTTTGAGTCATTTGCAACCCCTAGTGATCCTAAGTATAGCAGTTCTGAAGCCTACCCTGTCTGGAGCCAGACTCAAAGATTCGGACACACCCTTTTCCCATTACCCCAGTTACTGTATCAATCCATCTCATCTAGGAACTTCCTCTCCTGCGTTGTCCCTCCACCTGTCCAAGCATGATGTCCTTCTCCAAGGATTGGTCTCTCCTGGTTATGTGTCTCCAAAGTATGTGAGACAGAGCTTCAAAATCCTAGCTTCCAAGGAGAAATTTAGTTTCACTCTCTCTAAGACAGATTTATTTCTTTTTCTTGGGGGCCCATGGCAGGTTCAAGACTCTTCTCCAGCACCACAACTGGAAGGCACTGATTCTTCTGTTATCCTTAGTCATTATTCAGCTCTTGGATGCATAGCAATTAATTGTGAAGACCATGACCTAGATTAGGCTCACCTAAGTCTCTAGACTGACATCATTGCTCTTCAGTACTCTGAAGAGGTCCCTGACAGCAGATTTTCCCAGTGCAATTCGTCTTTTGATTTCCTGACTGCTGGTGCCAAGAGTGTAGATTGTGGAGATGAGCAAGCTGAAATTGTTAACAACCTCAATCTCTTCTCCTTCTATAAGGTCTATGCTGTCAATTGGCCCAGTGGTGAGAAACTTTGTCTTCTTGATGTTGAGCTTCAATCCATATAAAAGACTGCAGTGCTTGACCTTCTGCAGCAAGTGCTTCAGGGCCTCCTCAGTTTCAGCAAGGAGGGTTGTGTCATCTACATAATGTAGGTTGTTGATAAGTCTTTCTCCAATCTTGATGTCACATTCCTCCTCATAAAGCCCAGCTTCCTGAATAATCTATTGCACATATAGATTGAAAAGGTATGGAGACAGGATGCATTCCTGATATATTCTTTTCCTGATTTTGAACCACACAGTGTTTCTGTGCTCTATTCTAAGTAAGTATTGCTTCCAGGTCCAATATGGGTTTTGCATATGTGTTCTGGGATTCCTATTTTCCTCAATGTTACCCACAATTTGTTGTGATACACACAGTCAAATGCCTTTGCATAGTCAATGAAACATAGACATATCTCTGGTACTCTTTGCTTTCTGCAAAGATTCATGTGACATTGATGATAATGTTTCTAGTGCCACGGCCTCTTATATATCCAGCTTGTATTTCTGGTAGTTCTCTGTCAATGGACTGTTTCAGTCATCTTTTGGGCTTTTTGTTGGTGGTTTTGGTTTGGTTTTTTTGATTTTTTTAAAAAATAATCTTCAGCAGGATTTTGCTTGCATGTGATATCAATGATATTATTTGAAAATTTTCACTCTCTGTGGTCATCCTTTATTTGGAATGGGAATAAATATGGATTTCTTCCAATCAGTAAGCCAGGTAACCATCCTCCAAATTTCTTGGTACACTCTGGTGATTGAAATATTTCAATTGGTATCCCGTCAATTCCTGGGGCCTTAGTTTTTCCTAAGTTCTTTAGAGAAACCTGCATTTCCTCCTTCATCACCATTGCTTCTTGATCACACATTATTTTTTTAAATTCTTCTGTGTCAGCTAATTCGTTTTGGTACAAGGATTCTGTTTACTTCTTTCATCTTCTTTTAATTCTTCCTAAATAATTCAATATTCTTCCCATAGCAACCTTAAGCATTACAACCCATGGCTTGAATTTGTTCTTTAGTTCCTTTAGCTAAAGAAATGCTGAGCGTGTTCAAGCTTTCTGATTTTCTGACCCCAGTTCTTTACACATTTTGTTATAATATGTTGCTTTGTCTTTCCAAGCTGCCCTTTCAAAGTTATTCAGCTCTTTAACTTCTTGATTTCTTCCCTTTGCTTTGGCTTCTTGGCACTCTAGTGCAATATTCAATCTCTTCTGACATCCACTTTGGTTTTTTCTTCTTCTTTCTCTGTAATGACCTTTTGCATTCTTCATGCATGATATTCTTGCTATCTTCCCATAGCTCATCTGGTCTTCTTCATTCATTAGTGTTCTCAGTCTCAAACCTGTTCCTGAGTTGGTCTTTAAATTCAGGAGGGATAGACTCAAAATCAATTCCTGTGGATGGGATTTGACTTTCTTTAGCGTTACTTTGAACTTACATATGAAGAGTTGATGGTCTGTTCCACAATCAGTAACTGGCTTAGTTTTCACTGCTGATATTGAACTTCTCCAAAGATTCCTTCCATAGATGTAATTGATCTGACTCCTGTGCATATGAACAGGTGATATCCATGTGTATAGCATGTATTTATGTTTCGTATAAAAGGTATTTACAATGAATAAATGTGCAGAATTCTAGAGTTTTCATTTGGCATGTTAGTAAGAGAGGCTATTGTTTCGAAAAGAACATCATGCTTGGAAAGGTGGATGGTCAGTGAAAGAGAAGAAGACCTCCAATCTGATAGACTGATATAGTGACTGCAGAAATCGGCTCAAGTATATCAGAGTCTCAGCCTATTAAATATTTATGATTCTTAAGAAAATGTGACGTCCTTCCATGATACATCTTCAAGGATATGAACATGTACGGCTAAGCACAATTGATAACAGTGCATCTAAATTCCAAAATCAATCTCCATAATAGCCTATGTGTTTTCTACTGCCAAAGGGGCCCTTTAGAGTAGTGAGAGAAGATCTTCACCCTGAAACCTACAGCATCCCTTTTTCAGCAGGAAGTAGCTAAGAGAATATGCCATCCCCTTTCCTTATGAATCAGAGTGAAGTCCTTCTCAGGGAGGAGTGATAGAGAATGGCAAAGGACACACTGACAGAGGAGATTAATCAGAACTGGCTTTGACAAACACTGTGTCAATTGGACAATTAAAACAGACATTCAAGGTGGGGGGAAAGAAGAATGAACTGGGGAGGAGGGTAGAGGAAACAGTGCAACAATGAATGAATGAAAACTCAAAATCTCTGTAAATGTTCATTAAAACTAATAAAAAAAATGTGACGTCTTTGGGATATTATTTCTTTCTTTTTTTGGGGAGGCTATTATTTCAAAGTTGGCTGTTTTATTCCATTTATTGATGCATTGGGAAAGCAACATTCACTTTATTAACATTAATTATCAGTTACAAGTTCCCCAAGGTAAATTTTTGAAATTTTATTTTCTAGATGAATATCCACATTTATCTGCTTTACAACTGAGTTGTAAATTGTAACCTTTCATCTGTCTTTTCCATTCCATTTGGGCAGAAAATTCGGGCTTGGTCATTCTTGCATCAGGAGCCATTGCGGTGATGTTTCTAGAGCTAAAGCATTTGCTAAACAATTAGAAAGCATCCATTTCCTATTAGAAACTTTGGAAATGGCCCAATAGTTGGTCATTAAGCTATCCAGATGACTGACAAATTTGATATATGGTCTACTGAAATGATATCATTATTAGTGAAATTATCTGTGCCCTAAACAATTGCCGTTCAGTATGTGTTGAACTATCTTGTTTCTTTGGAAATTTGTTTTCTTAATGTACAGTCTTTATAGATGCATCATTAAGGTACTTCATGTTGTCCACTAACACATGTGAACTTGGGGCTATTTGTGAGTATTATTGATATCTCTTAACACTTAAATATATTTAATGACTGTGTTTTCAGAATAAAATCTCTAATATTTAGATATCGTATGGTAGAGGTATTATTATAATTAAATTAATTTGGATCCAGCTTTTGGAGAAGGAGACTGAGTAAGGAGACCATGGAGGACGAAGCAGCCCTCAGACATCATCTGAAATAGTTTAGACTCAGAAACAAGCTGACAGATGTTGGAATGTTTTTTTCGCATTGTGTCGCATCAGCATAGACATGCATTGAGCATATCAGAAGAATCATGCCATAAGAACACACAGAGAATCAAGTATCACAAACATGTCAGTGATTTATTTTAGAAATCTATTTTTGCAGTTGAAAAACTCCATGGTTTCAAGATTATAATGCAATTAAGCAGATGAAATATTTAAGGGAGGCCAAGAACTATAGGGAAAGCAGACAAAATTTCCAAAAGACGTGAAAATCTGATGCACAGTCGTTCCAGAGGGTTAACTTCAAAATTAGCAACAATTTAGCTAAGTAAATATCTGCACAAGTTTTCAATCATTATTATTTCTCTTTTAATGAACTGGAGCAGAGCCCCAAAACTGTTAATTTATTCAGTTTTTGATAGCTGAGGGTTGTTGAAGTAGGAAAACATTGCTATTAAAGAACAGTGTAACTTATTCACTGTTGGTGGGAGTGTAAAATGGTGCAAACAACTGTGGACAGCGGTGTGGCACTTTCTCAAAAAGTTGCAAATAGAGATAACGTTGGACCCAGCAATTCCACTACTGGGAATATATCCCAAAGAGACCATAACTGCCATCCAAGCAGATATATGCACAACCATGTTCATCGTGGCTTTGTTGACAATAGCAAGAAGTTGGAAACAACCCAAGTGCCCATCAACAAACGAATGGATAGAGAAGCTGTGGTATATTCACACAATGGAATACTGTGCTGCATTGAAAAACAAGGAACTCTCTGCGGACACCCAGGACTCCAAGATAGCCTCGGTCGTACCACTGAAGGAGAGGAATCTCATGGATGTAAAACTGGGGGCGCTGCCCAGCTGGATACTGATGTGGGACTTCACCCCAAGTGGCATCGCAGGACCATTCCAGCAAGGCTACTACCAGTACTACAACAAGTACGTCAACGTGAAGAAGGGGAGCATCACTGGGCTGTCCATGGTGCTGACAGCTTACATGGTGTTCAGCTACTGCCTTTCTTACAAGGAGCTCAAACATGAACGGTTATGGAAGTACCACTAATAGGCGCCGTCTGCATTCCTGGCCGGGTGCCTTTGCCCTGGTGCCCTTCCCTTCTTCAACAGCCCTGTCTCCTAGATTGAGAAGTCTGTCCAATAAAAGATGACACACTCTGTAAAAAAAAAAACACCAAAAAAGCCCCACAAAAAACAAACAAACAAACAAAAAACCCACCAAGGAACTCATGCAATATTATTCAAAATGGGTGAACCTGGAGGACATTATGCTGAGTGAAGTATCTCAATCACAAAAGGACAAATATTGCATGGTGCCACTGTTTTAGAATGAGGCTGACATCAGGATTGGGGTAAGAATGAGAAAAACTGGATAAATTATGTTTACTGCATTGAAGCCGATGAGGGAGAGAACAGTTTAAAAGCAATATATTTTAGGGCATTATGATTATCATAAGAGTTCTAAATGAGGGTTGCAGAGTGGAGTATACTGGGAGGGGGGGATTGGAGGGTTGCGGAGAGATTATATACCAATGAAGAAGTTTTTCTTTTGCTTTAAGGAGAAGAGTGAACTGGGGGTGGGGGTAGGGTGGGTGGGGAGAAAAGTGCAACAATGAATGAATGGAAATCCAAAATCTCTGTAAATGCTCATTGAAATTAATAAAAAAAAACAACAACAAAACGGTTCAAACTCTGATATGATATTCTTTGGTTATAAAATATTGTTAAAACCTTCTTGACTTATTCTGCACTTGATCTTAGCCAAAAGGCCAAGAAGCAATTCTTGACTTATTCTGAAGAACTAATCAATTCCAACAATTTCAAAGGCAAACAAACATATTGCTGGATGAATCTGTGTGGTAAGTTGATACTCACTTGTCCCTGGCTATTAGTTTGCAGCTTTGAGAAACTATTGATTCCCACTAGTCAATGATAGTATTTCAGTGTCATTTCTTGTAATTTTTTCATTCTTCTATGGAGCATCTATTGCCTCTATTTATTTGAAGAATTCTGTCAACTGAAAAATATTCAATGATTTTCCTATTGCTATCTATTATAGTGAAGAGCTTACAAAATCTCCAAATATATATAAA